CACTAGTGTGGGCTAGCCTAAGAGCAGATAAAAAATGTAAGAAACTTATCACAGAGAGTAGTCGATGGCACAATTGGAGAAACATCACAAGGATTAATGATCGAGTCGAGGACATTAAAAAGAACCTGAGGTTTATGGCTGTTTTTGGAGATTAACAGAGAAATGTGCTCTGTTTTGGCTGCTTTGACTGCCGTCTGGTAGTCGGAGAGGCAAGCACGAAGGATTTCTAAGGAGACATGGAGTTTATCCTTTTTCCATTTTCTCTCTGCACGCCTGCAAGCGCGTCTGGTGACACGTTATGGGACATAATTCACCGTTGGGTATATTGTGTAAACGGTAAGCAGTGCAAGCATAGTATAAAATATATAGATATTAATTTCATGATGATAAACATTGTGGAACAATGATGAAAAATGTGAATGGAAGTGGCGACGTAAAACTGACACAAAACAACAACAAACTTTTGCGGAGCCAATTGGAGAGTTTCATCAGCAGCACGGGGTAAACACCACCAATGAGCGCTCAGCGAGTCGTTTCCCATCAAGCATTTTGCTTCTGCAGCCCGTGGAGAGAAACTGCTCCGCCTCGCTCTCAAGTCTGCTGGCGTCTTTGTCCCGCGAGATTTCAACGTCTCATGCAGTCGAGCCTCCAGAGCAAGTCGGACCAAATGACTAACCATCATGCAACGCACTAGCAAGACGGCGGTCGGTCTCGCTTATCTCAAACGAGCCTATTGTCGAGGTGTCGTGGTTCTGCAGAGGAGAGTGGGTACAGGTGTATTAACAATTACATGGTTTAAAGATTCATTTCCTTGAGGATCGTTCTACTTTAAGATCAAATCAAAAATGTCTATGATCATAAATGTATGCTTATTTTTTTTAAATAACGTTAAATGTTTATGAGAAAATCAACAATATGGAACGGGGACATCTCACCATTGCTTTGCAGTAACTGTTGCACAAACACCTTATACAGATGTGTACGGTGTTATTTATCTAAATAGGCCTAATTTTCACAAATGACACTAAATTCTATACTTTACGATACTAATATCTAAAAAGCCAGATATGATACTTCATATATATATTTAAAACATATTTAGTTGGATTGATGTTGTCTGTATGACTTGCATACAGATCCAATTTTAGGAAAGACCTTTAAATAGAGTTCATTGTCTCAAAACAGAAACATATTAACGTTGTTTACAAGGTTTTATTCACACATCATTTGCTACAGAGGAGCCATTTGACTGATTTTTTTTTTTTTAAGATCTTAGCTACTGTTCACTCAATTACACTTTTAATAAGCTTGTTTCACCTTGTTAGTCAACATGATGTGTGACTAACACACACACACACACACACACACACACACACACACATACATACCATGTATACATCACTTCAGGGGACATTACATTGACTTACATGCATGTCCTGGAGACTTATCCTAACCTCAACCAACACATGCCTAAACCTAACCAAGTCTTCACCCTAAAATGAATGATTCCCCTCATGGGGACCTCCATTATGTCCCCAGAACGGGGTGCGAGTCCCCACACGTGACTGTGTAAACAGATTTAGGTCCCCACAAGGATGGTAATACTAGGCCACACACACACACACACACACACACACACACACACACACACACACACACACACACACACACAGATGACAACATATTTAATCTATGGAAGTTGTGGCGCTATAAAAAGCACAACCAATCATCTGAGCCCGGCTAAAGTAACTGGATGGCCTACCTGCCTGTCAGCCTTCCATCTGTGCACAAATGTATCTCGTGCCCTCATTGGTCATGTGCGCGTTCATGTGTGTTGGAGGAGGGGCTCTGTAAGGAAGTCTGAAGGAAGGGGCAGATTTTTTCGGCTGCGTACTTTGAAATTCTAGCGCACTCGAGCTGGTTTCTCCATTAATTGATTGATTGATTGATTGGAAATTGTATTAACAGATTGCAGAATGGGTACAATACAGTACAGCTCAATACACACAATTGTTAAGGGGATGCAGACCAGAAAAAGACTTTCGTCTTGTTTACATCAGGGTCCCCCATTTTAATTCATCATAACATATATGACATACAGATAGATTACATTTTCATTTTAGATTCATTTTCAATTCATCATAACATATATGACATACAGTACATGACATACAGATAGACAGTACTGTTACATCTAGACATTTATGACATACCAGATCTACAAATATACAGTACTGTTTGTGAGTATAAAAAGAGTCTAAAAAGAGAGTATATACATTGGAGGGGGGGATGGGAAACTGTATTGTAGGGGGTTGGGTTTGGACATTAACAGGGGCCAGTTTCGAATTGCAGTCTCCCGTAGGTGCTTTTTTAGAGAGGTTTTGAAGGTGGGTAGTGATTCACATTCCTTTACAGCTGTGGGTAGGGCGTTCCACATTGTTGTGGCATAATTGCGAAACGTGTTTCGTCCCTTGTTTGAGACAAATCTGGGTTTCACATGATTTGTGGAGCTCCCTCTGGTGTTGTGGTCGTGGTATTCACTGACCTTTGGGAAGTATTTTGACATGTACATGGGTACCATAGAGGTGTAGTGTATCTTGTAGACCAGGCCCATTGCAAGTAGCTGTACTCTGGCGTCTACTCTAAGCCATCCTAGGTTGTCAAAGTGGGCAGAGGTGAGGTGGGTTCTAGATGAAAGGTCAAGCAGTAGTCTGACCAGTTTATTTTGTGATGTTTGTAATTTTGTTTTTAGCGCCTTGGAGGTGCTATGGTACCATGACGTGCAAGCATAGTCATAGTACCCTTGAATGAGTGCTCCTGCCAGAGTCTTCAGAGTATTCTTGTTTACCAGAGAGGAGATCCGGTATAGGAATCTAGTTCGTTGGTTGACTTTTTGATTACATTGGATGCCATTTTGTCACAGGAGAGGTTTGCCTCTAGAATGGAACCTAGGTATGTAATTTCATCTTTCCTTGTGACAATAATGTCGCCCACTATAACTGAGAAGCCGTCGGTCTTGCTGAGATTATGTTTCGAACCGAAGAGAATGGACTCTGTTTTACCCAGGTGTAATGATAATTTATTATCGGCGAGCCAGGTGCAGATTCTGCCGAGCTCGGAGCTGAGGGTTTTTTCAACCTGCAACCCGTTCCTGTCAGAGACCAGCAGGGCTGAGTCGTCCGCGAACAGGAACAAGTTGCAGTCACATGCTGATGACATGTCATTTACATAAATTACTAACAGTAACGGTCCTAGTATGCTTCCTTGTGGAACACCACAGCTCACTGGGAGGGGGGGGGGGCAGAGTACCGTTTACCTCCACCATCTGTTCTCTCCCCTCCAGGTAGGATTGCATCCAGCTCACCGATAGTTTATCAAAACCAATTGCTTTTAGCTTGTCAATCAGAATGGGGTGATTGACAGTGTCGAAAGCCTTTTGTAGGTCCAGCATCACCATGCCGCAGTACTTGCCCTCGTCCACCTCTTGTTTGATGTGGTCGCTCAAATAAAGAAGGCATGTGTCAGTGGAGTGGGATGTTCTAAAGCCAGATTGAAATTCATAGATTAGTTTCTTTTCCGCGAGGTACTTTTCGACCTGTTCATATACTATTTTTTCCATGACTTTCGAGATGGAGGTAAGTATAGAAACAGGGCGGTAGTTGCCTGGGTCCAATTTGCTGCCCTTTTTGTGCAGGGGGGTTACTCTCGCAATTTTGAAGTCTTTGGGTACGTGTCCCTGTTTTATGGAGAGGTTAATTATGTGAGCTATGACTGGTGAGATGGCGGTTGCTGAGTCTCTGAGGAATTTGGAGGGGATATTGTCGTGGCCAGTGGCCTTGTTAGGTTGGAGGGCGCTCAGTTTTTTGTGTACCTCAGCTGTTGTTACCATTACTAGTTTGAAATCATCTTTGCGGACCCCTAGGTTATTGTAGTAGGCTAGGATGTGTTCTACCCCAAAATGCCCTGAGTGGGAGGGTAGTTTATTTACCAGAGTTGTGGCCATGTTTGTGAAGAAAATGTTTAAGTAATTGGCACCAAGAGAGTTTCCTTGTGGTTATTGATTTGGATGAATCCTATTGTATGTGCCCCATTCTTTGTTCTACAACTCATATATTATTTAGATGAAACTAGACAATCCTGCACACAAAGTGTTCACTAAAGATTTACAATTATTTCATTATCTTATTACCATAGACTAAGCATCAACAATGTATCGCAACACTTCTTAACAGTCTCTAGCTCCTGATGTTGCAAACTGTACTTTAGTGAGTATTTTGCCTCTTAGAATCTATGAAACAAGGATGAGTAACTGTGTACTAAATGTATACTGTATGGTGTGCGGCCAGGGGTGGTAGGAGTTCCTCTACATGATGAGAGTCTGCTGCAGTGTTGGAACCAGTCTCTGCAGAGGAGCTAGCGTAGCTGAAATGCTAATAGGCTGATCTGATTTGAATGGAGACTGGCAACAACAGGAGGCTGTGAAGGCGGTGGCTGCATCACGGGCGGACTCTGATGCTGCCGAATCAGACTGGGAGTGTCCTCTCTGCCTCCAGCATGAGCAACACTAGCCATCCACACACACACACACACACACACACACACACACACACAACACACACACACACACACACACACACACACACACACACACACACACACACACACACACACACACACACACACATATCTTATCCTATGTGGAATTTTTGCCTGCAGACTATTTTAGCATCCTGGCAGAGGCCTGTGGAACATGTTGGAGCAGCGGTGAATCACATGGGATGTCATACTGATTAGACAGTAACATCAGTGATGGTTAGCATCAGGGCAACTTATGAGTGTAGTTTTTGTAATGAGTGAAAATAAACACTATAATTAAATCAAAGGGCTGATTCTCTCTGAGTAGCACAAAACCTTTATTACTGTGCTCTCTGCCGCTGTTTCTCCTCGTGTGTGTGTGTGTGTGTGTGTCTCACTGTGTCTCCTCTCTCTCCACCCTGAAGGAAGCGCCAGCTGCAGTTCCTGTTGGAGGGGCGCGGCCGGCGTGCAGGACTGAGTCCGGAGGAGCTGCGGGACAACGGGAAGCTGCTGGGAGAAGGCCTGAGCCGAGCGCTGTTCAACTACCCCAGCAGAGACTGCAGCGCTGCAGAGAGCCCGGAGGTCAGCTCAATGCACGCTGTTCAGCAGTGGCACATCAATCATATATATATATATATATTTTATTCATCTAGCTCAATATCACATATTACACATATGTCTGAGGGGGCTTTACAGAGCGGACACTGTCCTTAGACACCCAAAGAAACCCCACAATTAATGGGGAAAACATTCGGTCCTTGGCAGAAAGAAATTCAGATGGATGTCAACGTTTACTTTATTATATATATAAATATATATATAAAAAGTAAACCATTTTACTCTGTAGCACTTTCAGATTTGTATACTCAAATGAAAAGTGCGCTTATAAATACAATTTATTATAATTATTATTATTATTATTATTATTATAGTAGCCTTGTTGTTTGAGAGACTGCAACAAAGTGACCTAAAAGTTAGAAAAAACGATTTCAGTCTCACATCCATCCATATCCCAGCCCGAAAAGTGTTCTGAAGTTGTGCAGGGACATACCAGACACCCACAATGTCTCTGTAAAATATCCATTGTGGCTCGCCTGTATCAACCTGTTGTCCATGTAAGACCTTACAGCAACGGCCCTTAGTCAAACCCTAACTGCTGTCCTTTGTCGCATGTTGTTCCCTTTCTCTGTCCGTCTTTCCTGTCTGTCTCCGGCTGCTCTATCCAATCAAATAAAGAAATGAAGCAAAACAATTGTTTCTCCATAACGGCAATACAATTGCAACAGATTTACGTATTTGATCATAAATTGGCAAAAATCTGTTTACGTTTATTCATCTCAAGTCATCAAAAGTTAAGGATTACGTTTTTCCAAATCTCTTTTAAAAATAGCATTAGGACGGTCATTTAAAAAAACTAAATCTGACAATGAAAGCATATTTTATCTGCTGTAAATAAGCATTTTAAATGTGACATATTTGTGACTCCTGTATTAAATAAACATGCTCCCCAGTATGTTTTGCAAACAAAGGCTGTTTGACTTTCTGAAAAAATCAATAATCACTCTATCCGCAACGGTAACACTTTATGGTAAGGGCTGCTCGATTATGGCAAAAATCATAATCTCGATTATTTGGGTCAATAATTGATATCACGATTATTAAAAACGATTATCCATTTACTTTGAAAACATCCATTTATTGGAGAATTTGTTTTTAACAGTATGTTTTTAACAGTTGATTACCCTCAACTTTAAGTTGAATTCAACTGACAAACCAATACAAAAAAAAAAAAAAAAAAAAAATCGTTTTATTTCGATTACGTTGTTTTCGTAATCGTTGCAAGCCATAATCGTAATTGCGATTAAAATACGATTAATTGAGTAGCCCTAGTAAGGTACATGAAAAAGCATGAATTCATTCATGTAGGACTTCATGAACTATCAGTAATGTACAAGGATTAATATTATCTCATGCATGACTTAATGCAGGAACAATACCTTAATTAATGCCAAGGTATCTCAATCATCATGACTTCTGCCAGTAAGTCCATTCTATAACTGCAAGATGTTCTTTCAAAAGTTTCTCAGTTCGGTTTCCCCTAAGCCGCCAAATTATTGATTTGTAGTTAATCAAGATTACAACACTTTGAATTCAACAGAATACATGCACTGCTGTGAGCGACAGACCGGGTCACCACTTTATTTGAAGGGGCACAAACATGATGAAGTAATGACAAAATAATGCTTAGTTAATCATGATTGCAACACTTTGCTGTGACTGGTCAGTCTTTTGGCCTGACACTTTAACTGCAGATCTATAGAAGACATGAACATCATGAATAACTCAGAAGTCATGATGATTGAGATACCTTAGTTGATGCATTGTTCCTGCATTAAGTCGTGCATGAATTCATGATGATTCATGTACCCTTACCATAAAGTGTTACCTCAGCAAGCTTAATAAAAATGTGCATGTGATAGCTCAATTTGTAATTATGATACATCTAATGATTCTGCTTCGAATCTAGATACATAGTGTGGAGGCTTTACCTTTTACTACTGTCATATTCATGTCACTGCCCCTCACCTAAACCTAAACCCACTCAGGTCACACATGCACAATTTACTGTCTGCCCCACGTACCCACCTTCAGACCCGGTGATCGAGCGTTCGAGGCCGTGGCTCCTAAGCTAAGGAACGCTCTGCCCGCTCACCTACGGTCTGCGGACTCCGTTGACTCCTTTAAAGCTAATTTAAAGACATCCCTGTTTGTGCAGGCGTTTGGGTAACCGGTGTGCTTGATTTTATTCTAATTTATACTACGTTTTGTTTTAATTGTGTTTCATTGTGTTTTTATTATGTGTTGGTGCTTTTATGACTTCTTAACACGTGGCTTGTGTGTTCATTTATCATTGTACGATTCCTATAATGATGTTTTATTGTTTGTCAAGCACTGTGTGACTTTGTCTGTGAAAAGCGCTTTATAAATAAACTTTACTTACTTACTTACTAAATGAACAAGTGAACGAGTGATTTGCTTTTCCTCTCCTCACAGGAGGGCACTTTGGAGTCGTCGGATCGCGCCGCCATGATACAGCAGTACCTCCAGGATCTGGTCCAAAGGGCGTCAGAGACCAACCTGAAGGGGGAGGCCCTGCACAAGCTGTGGCCCTCCATGTTCGCAGAGATGGTGACGGACAGTGTGTTGGAGATGAGGGACCAAGCGGCCTTCCGGAAAACCAGCCTTGCAAAACTCTCCGGGACCAAGTGAAGAGGACTGAGGCTGACACTACGACCACACACACATGTGGACAAACCATTATTAACACATCATCACTTTGTGACTAATCACTATCAGTTATTGAAATGGTTGGAATCAGAAAGTGTGTGGGGAGATCTTTCAGATGGATATATGTAGATTGTTTAAAAGAAGAAATTATCGTGATTGAATGTAGATTTTCACTCAAAGCTCGGAGCTGTAACATACTTGAAGAAAGTCAAAGGGACGTATGGACTCAGTGCATTGTGGTCCTCTGCACTTTAAACATCTTTCTGAATGACCCCCCCCCCCTCCGCACCATTACTGTCATCAGCTGAAAATGACCGGCGTCTCTTTTGTCGAGACCAGAATGATTTTTCATGTCTTAATTAACGTGTCATGCATCTCACTTTCTCCTGCCTGACGAGGACCTTCCTTTGTTTACCACTGATCTTTCTGTCTTGTACTTAGAATTAAACAATTCTGTATTAACACTCAGTGTGTCTAAATGGTTTGAATGAATCCCCGAAAAACTGTCTACAGGTGTGAAGAAGTCACCATGCGTCACGTGGGTTTGAATCAGAATTCCTCTTTTCCTTTACAAAATATGTTAATGCTCAACTTAGGCTGCAGCCACACGAGAACGATAACGGTCGTATCCGCTACAGTTCTCTATCAGATAGACGGTTCGGCCACGCGAAGCCGACAGGGAAACGCAGATAGCGATAACGGGTCCCAAGGTGGGTAGATCTGGGGACTAAACGCTCTGGGGGGGCAAACGGCTCCGTGTGTACGCCCTATACGATCATTTCCTGATAACGATGACGCAATAGCCCCGCCTCTCCCCACCTCTCCTGCTCAGACTCAGAGATCAGCTGCTGGGCTCTCAGGAGAGGGGGAGGAAAAGAGAGGCTCCGTGTTTTATTCTTATATTATTATATAGAGTCGTTATCAATTTGTTTTAAAGCTCAATAAATAACAAAGAAGACCTCTGACCGGCACTTTTCAAATGTTGTCCGGAAGATTTCAACTTTAACGGACATGTTGACCGGCGAAAGAAAATTGAACTGAAACTGCTGCACGGTCCCCTCGTCCCTTGGAAGATACGGAGAGGCGGGTGTTTTTCATCTGCTGGTGGACTACCGGGGAGATTTACAGCAGGAGCACACACTTGCCTCAGAGGGAGAAAAAGAGCCAGAGCGTCCACAACGGAGAATAAACAGAAGGGCAACCATGCATGTGCGGGAAGTCTTCTTCGCTGCTTTAGGTGTATTTTGTGGCGGAAGTACAGCGCCACTAACAGGCCCGGCATATGTACTACAGCGTCTCCAGCGATTTCGAGCGGTCTCGTGTGAACGGACACGTTTCTAGTGCCTGTTGCGTGTGGACGGAAGACTTTTATCGACTTTTTGATATCGAATTCGGTTAGTTTGCGTTACCGTTCTCGTGTGGCTCCAGTCTTAATCTCTTCTGGTTCCTCTTTCAGCCTTCACAGTATAGCTTTGAAGGACAGCATTATATAACATGTTTACTCCAATGAGGCAGAGAAACCATGAAGAATCTCTGGATGTGTGAACTCCCTCAGGAATGTCCCTGAAGGCGTAGAGGCTTCACCAGTTTCTCACCACCTGCTCCCCTCACTCAAACTGAGCATTTGAACCCTTATTTAATCTGCCTTAGGTGTCCAGAGTCATCCACTCCACTGGAGACCAATACCTTGCTCAAAGGTATTTGACTTGCAGAATATCAGGATGTATATTAAAAAATGTTGGTCTCTCCTCCGTGCTAATTGGTTGTCTTCTTGGGTAAGATGTGGACTCCAACCAATTAGGGGGCAGCATTTCAACCCAATGCTTTCATTATCTAAATTGAGTCATAAGATATAAACGAATCAGAAAATCCAACTATTCAGCAGGACAAAAACACACAGAATGTTACTTCTGAAACTCTGAGAGCCGTTCAAAGAAACATCTCTAATCTTGTCAAGAACTGAGTGCAGCAGTAACATGCCACGCCAAGATGTGCATCAAAGTTTACTTTTATTTTTCTTATTTTTATACCACTTCTTTCATTTGCCTCTTTACAGGTTTATTTGCTGCGAGTTGGTACGGTGATAAAAGCTGTTGGCAAAGAGCTTCAGCCATCTTTGTATTTACTGTCTCGACCCAGTGGCTGTAAGGAGGCGTGTGGTGCAGTGGATTAGTGTTGGGATCAGGGGTCACAGGTTCAAACCCCACTGCAGTCAGCATGTCGTTGTGTCCCTGAGACACTTCACCCCAAATTGCTCCTGTGGGGATTGTCCACAGTACTGAGTATGTAAGTCGCTTTGGATAAAAGCGTCTAACATGTAATGTAAGGCCTTTTGATATTCTATTGGTTGCCGAAGTTAGAATGCATGTCTTCCCCTCATTTTACATTTCATTACATGTTACTTGTTAGACGCTTTTATCCAAAGCGACTTACATACTCAATACTGTGGGCAATCCCCACAGGAACAATTTGGGGGGAAGTGTCTCAGGGACACAACGACATGCTGACTGCAGTGGGGTTTGAACCTGTGACCCCTGATCCCAACACCAACGCACAACCCACTGCACCACACGCCTCATTTCTAGAGATACTGTATGTGATAAGGCAGACACGGCTTCCTCTGGAAAATACCATGGGATGATCCAAAAATCACCCAAACAAACACATTTCCCAGTAAAATACTTTTATATAATAATCTATTTCAAAATATTTAACGCGGGGAGTCTGGGCAGTCCACGATTAAACCGCAGCTAAAGAAGCTCTCAAAGATGTGTTATACTCTGTGAACTGTCTCAAGCAAGTTTAATCCAAACCAGATTTTCAGACAAATTTACAAAACCTTTCCTCAGATATTTACTTGAATCAGTATGGCATCATGTGTTGGTTTCTGGGTCATCAGATCTCCTACAAACATGATTCCAGTAGTGATGTTTGCTCTTTTCTTCTCTGACAAGAAACCACTTGGTTCAGCAAGTTTATTTTCAGCCACTGAGATAAACAACATTGTTTTGTGCTGACACATCTTGTCATTTCATGGGACTGTGGCTGTCAACGTCCCAAAACACTAACAGCACTCACTGAGAAGTGACAGCTTGCAGGCGCAGAGGCAGAAGGAGAACAATACCTCATCGCTGGAAAGAAGTCACACACAGTTCAAAAGACTCATTAACATGAAGTCCATTTGTCTTGGTGAGTAATAACCCACGATCAATCTGCTGTTTTGATTCAGTGTGTTGTGCCGGTAGAGGAGGGGTTTAAGGATTTGATGGTGATGTCAGCTGTCTCAATCAATAACCAAAGTTCATTGTTTACTGTAAGCTGTGCACAGCAACAAATAACCCATCCAGATCTGTATTTGCAATTTATTTATACATTTAAAAATGCATTAAACTTAAAGAAACATTAACATTTGATTGGAAAAACAAATATTTAGCTTTTTTCTAAGATTTTTGTTTTAAATATCTACATTATTTTAGCTTCCGGGGGGCTGGTTGGTTCAAGTTTTATAACCAGTACAAATGTATTTCCTTGTTTACATTTTGAAGTAATGCACAATGTATCATACTGTTTTCTGTGTAGTGTGTCTTTGTTCAGTCCTCTCCAAAGCTCTTGGCCTTCAATGGGTCCTCCGGTACATTCATTAATCAAACAGCTTTAATTGGAGGCTGATTTGCCTGTGAAGGGTTTGGAAACATTTGGGTATTGAGGCAATTTCCTGAGCAACATTAACATACCAACCCCACTGGTAGAGACACTACATACAGTATGGATATGAAGGCACTGACTTACGTTATATGACCCAGATAGACAGGGCAGTGTTGGGAGAGAAACTTTGAATGTTTTGCAAGTTACTGATTACTTCACACTGGAAGAAATTGAATTATAGCTGAGCTTTCTGAGGGAGAAATCTAATTTCAGCAACTAAAGCTATTTAGAAAACATAGTTTTCAGCACTTAAAGTAAAACATGTTAAAATTCTCAATAGTATACAGAATTATAAAACAATATGGCAAAACAAGTTAAATTCTCATAAAGAAATGCCCCAAAAAGTGTTCACTTATTTAAAGGTCATACAACTTGGGCTGGACAACATGGGTTCAATTACAGATGCAATGATTAAATAATAATAATAACAAATATATTTGTTATGATTTTAGATAGACTAACCCTTTAACCTAGTGTTTATTTGTGTGATTGCTGCTTTCTACTCCTTGTTAACAAAGTTGTAGGGCTCAGTAAATCAAAAGTAACTCCAAGTTGATGCCATACATAAAACACAACACGTTGACATTTCGGTCACGTGTTTAGCCAAAACAAGGCAGTCCAATCGAAAAACAAGTCCAAACTGAATGAAGTTGATTGGTTCAAGGATTTCTAGGTTTTTAATTTGCTAAAAGGTCCCAAAAATCCCGTTTGCGCACCATTAGAGTCTCCATGCAGTGTTTGAGCTCTTGTTCCTCTTCAGTTGTTACGTGAGATCTTCACCTGTGGCTCCAACATGAACACTTCACTGCGAGAGAGACGCTGGGTGAGCGGTAGAAAAGAACAACATCAAAATGTGTCTACGGTAAACGCCACTCACGTAGTGGTAAAAGGAGTAGACACACACACACTTACGGACATGCCACACACACACACCACACACACACACACACAAACACACGCACACACGCGCGCGCGCGCGCTCAGAGAGAGTGGTTGTTGCGGCAGAGGGCGCAGCAGAGGTTGTTTTTCAGTCTGCAGTGAGTTTCCAGCTTTCTGTCATTTTGTTTTTGTGCGTAAAATGAGCAGAACCGCCGGAATCCCCACAATGACCGAGGTCAGGACTCTCTACCGCGCCGGGATTTGATTCACTGCTCCGGACAGGGATTTACTCACTTACCGGTAAATGGCTTAATCCAAAATCTCCGGCGGGACGCTCTGAATCTGCACCTGGATTAAAGTTTCGAGCATGAGGATACCTGCGCGTGGATAGTTGGATACACTGGATTAAAAGTGAAGTGTAGTAGGAAACACTCCACCAACACATTTATAACCTGCAGGTACGTCGACATTATGATATGCACTGTTAATGTGGATGTATTAATGAGCTTTTAACGTGAGTTTCCCTTTATGTTATCATTGCAAATGTGTGTTTTAACCTGGTTTGCACGTTTCAAAGTATGCACAACTGTTTGACCATCATGTCTAGTTCAATGCTATTTTTAGACAAAGCTGAGGTAAAGTGAAAGTACAGACCTGCTGTCTAATTTCCAGCAGGGGAGGCTCCCTCTTTAGGAGTCAGAGGTCAGAAAGGTCACATGGTCAAGTGGCGACAAGTCGTTAATTTTTTTCCTGAGTCAGTATCTTAGAGGCTGTCAGGCAGAGGAATGTAGTGGCAGGTGAAAAAGTCACAGGGTGTTGACATTCCTGGGATATTTCAACACACCGATATGAAAGTCATTTTGTTACTAATCACACTTTTTGTGTGTAATTGTGATATTCTAATCTAGAGGACGTAACACTGCCATTGCACTGCGACCACAGCATTTGTGTTCAAACGTGTCATTGCCACTCTGGAGCATGCTCATGTAAACATCTCTATTTTCACTTAAGTGTGCTTCAGGAATCCAGGAGCTATGCAGGAAGCCTGCGTCTGGATTTCCAGGTAATTTCAGCGTGATTATTTCAAGAACTTGTTTTTGTAAAATATTTCTGTCCTAATATCTATATAAAAGCAAATGCATGTATGCGATTGTATTTTCATTTAACTGTATGGCTGGCCAACATATCAACATATCAATATTATATCAAAATCGTGATATGAGACTTGATAATATCTTCTTACATTTCTGATATCGTTTTACGGAACAAGTGTCTTTGCCTGGTTTTAAAGACTACATTAGGGTTAACTGATCAGTACTCATTACATCCACCTAACTAAGGATCAAACATTTTATTTTGTGAATATTTTATGAAAACGCAAACCTACAAAATCGTCCCTAAATTGATGTATACATATCATGATATTTGATTTCCCCTCATCACCCAGCCCTATGTAACATCTCATTCTTTCATTACCCTTTAAAATGTGGCGATTCTTCATTAGGATCCCAATAACATGTGTATTCTTGATTTTAACGGAGTCATATTCTGCTGATGTTCAGGTTCATATCAGTATGTAGTGTCTCTACTGGGACATGTCTTCATGCTTTAATGTTCAAAAAGCTCTTGATTTTTCTCATACTGCCTGTGCTGCAGCACCTCTTTTCACCCTCTGTCTGAAACCAGAGCCCAGTCTGCTCTGATTTTTGCCTTTGCAGACCATTGCACTAAAACCAATATAACACACTACAGAAAAGGGAAAACCCCCAAAAGCATAATAGGGCGTCTTTAAAACATTATCTCACATTAATAAAACTACCAGTATCACCAGTAATCTTTTCTTTTTGTTCCCTCAGAGCTTCTGTCCTCCTGCTGCTGCTTTGGTCCGACCTCCTGCACTGCCAACACGCCACAGACCACAGGAAGGTGAGCAGCAGTTGTGTAGCAAGTGTTGGAAGAAAAATATATCTGTGCTGACTCGTATGTGATCTGTTTGACACACACACACGACGCAAGACCTCCCTTGAATATTTCCAGCAGTTTTGTTGTTTTATCTCTCTGTCTAAGCGCTTGGTTGGCACAGAAGAGTGGATCTTCTTCCTAATCTTCTCAGAGATGGCATGCATGATCGTGTCTTGTTGGCATAGACAAATACTGATTATATTAGATTAGATTAAAAAGTACTGGGACAACTAAATGCAGTTATTATCTAGAAATATGACAAATGAAAAACTAAAGTGAACAATATTTATATGTATACAACTATGAACAGTTGTATAAATGTTCAATCCACTATAGAGATAATAGAAATATATATATACAGGAGGATATAGACACTATAGACCGTATATGAAAACATTATAGACCAGTATAGACATAATGGCGCATTTCCACTACACAGCCTCGCTCGGTATGGCTAGGCCTCGTTAGGCCTTGTTAGGACTGGCTCACTTTATGGCGCATTTCCATTCCAGTTTAGGAACTGGGGTAGTAACTAGTAATGCAGTGTAGGCGGAGCCGTGACGTCATCTTCAATGAGAACCCCAGAAAACCAACATCAGCCGTTAGCTGTTAGCCCTCAGAGCTCACAGCCAGGGCCGCCTTAATGCACGGGCTGACCTGGGCTGAAGCCCAGGGGCCTACGGAGATCAGGGGCCTATCATGAGCCAAACAAAAAAAAAAGTTTTTTATTTCGGATGTTTTAATTTTTTTTTTTAAATAAACAAAGTCTTGGCTTTCAGAATATGAAACTTTTATTTCCAAAATCACACGATAAATACATTTTTGAAGCTTGTAAAGGAAAGAAGACAGCTCTCCCTCGCCACTCGCTGTTCTGCTGTTCCCCTCACTCCGCTGAAATTATGAATGTAAGGCGTATAGTAATCATAGATAACACGGCAGGGATTTCAAATAAACAAAGTCTTGGCTTTCAGAATATTAAACTTGTTTCAGCAAATTCAGATGATAAATACAGCTTTGAAGCTTGTAACGGCATAATTACAAGCGGAGAACGGAGTAACTTGACGTCACAGCAGGCATAACAACAGCCGGTGTTTCTCGTGAGGGTTTTCCCCGGGAAACAAACACAATACACACAAACGCAAAAATACACAAACACACACACGTATACACACACACACACACACACACACACACACACACACACACACACACACATATATATATATATATATATATATATATATATATATATACACACACACACACACACACACACACACACTCGTGAGCTTCCCCCAGACCAGTAATCCAAACGAAAATATCTTCCCTCCATACTATTTTGATCATTTGCTCCGCTAATCAATCAGATCGATGGATTCCAGAGATTTTTCTCAAAATGATGAGAATGAGAATATGTTTCACATGTGACTTATTCAAATTGCGAGTGATTGATGAAGGTTGTTTAGGAGAACAAGTTTGAGAAGAAAAAGTTTGAGAGTGGCGCTCGGAAAAGGAAATTGTTGAGGGAAAAGGAGTTTCGAGACAAGCAGCTATTACAAAAAATGTCGAAGCTTACAGGTTATTTTAAACCTGTAGGCCAGATGAGGAGGAAGGACAGATGAGTTCTGTAACGAGCGGCAGCGGTGCCGGCCGCGGGGCCTCGGAGCCAAGTAGGCCGTCTGGTTCTGATAGCGATGGAGTAGCGGGAGAGGAAAAACAGACAGGAGGGATGTTGGAGGAGATGGAGAGAACGACAAGGACTTGCTACGTGGAGGGGAGCCAACGGAAACCGGACAAATACATGAGGGAGGCCCGATACGTCACTCATCTGGAGGAGAGGACCAGGCGCGTAGAGCAGAGTGGAGAAGTGCGATCACAGAGCCTGCCGAGGCTATAAATGACTTTGATTTGTTGTTTAAATAGGGGGCCTACAAAACCCATCAGCCCCAGGGCCTGATGGCAGGTTAAGGTGGGCTTGCTCACAGCTCCTCATATCTGTTCAGAAACTAGACAAAAGTTAAACAAGTACAAACCACAGACTGCCTGTGTCATGGCGAATACAGTCGCTGCTTTATTTATGTCTGTAGGCCGTTGTTGTGAGTGTGGACGGTCGGAGCATACAACGTTAGCTTAGCCAAACTCCATTCAGAAAACACGCATTTTAAAAGGTTGTTCGCCTGCCGTCTGTCTGCAGTCTTGTCAAAGCATTAATTCATGGTTTTTACTAACCGGTATCAGTATGTTGTTACTTCGCATAATTTTTGAAACGTGTATTACAATTAAATCACGGTCAAATATGTTCATTTTGTTGAAGTTGTAGCACACTTGCCAGAGATTCTCTCTAGTTTAGCATACTCAGCCCGACTCAGCCTGGTTGTTGGCCCGGAAAGAACCTCGATTTTATGGGGCCAGAAAAACTGTGAAATAGTACCCGCTAGCTAGCCGGTACTACGCCTAGTGGAAACGCAACCAAAAACGGGCCCCGCACGGCTCGGCACGCTTAAAGCGAGCTCCGCGCTGTAGTGGAAATGCGCCATTAGGATATATCATATAATCCTATGAAGTGTAATCTATTAATAATAATAATAATAATAATAGATTACATTTGTATAGTGCCTTTTAAGGGACCCAAGGCCGCTTTACATGGAGAACAAACAAACAAACAAAAGGGGCAAATATTACTTCCAAACCTAGCAGGGTTGTGTGTGAACAGTGAGAGTTTTCCCAGGGGGAAAGTGATCGTGGTGCTAATCTGCTAATTTGAAGTTAACAAGTGAGCAGCTCTGAAACAGAGAGGGCTGCTGTCAGCTGTCAGCAGCCCTCTTGACCTCTGAAGCAACAGGCACCACTCAGAGGAAAGGGGTGGAGGTAGACTGACAGATCAACTAGAGAGGGAGGCGTGCTAGTCGGCTCCATGAGTTCTCAACCAGGAGTCCAGCTGTGTGACCTGTGGCTGACCCTGGAGATGACAGTGGCGTTGAGGTACAAAGGGTCTGATCTGAATAGCTGCACAGGCTGATTGACAGCAGAGCCACTTCCTGCCAACTCTCCCTCCTCCTGCTTCTCTATTCTCTTCGCCAGAAGTCAAAGGCAGCTGAGCTTTTACTATGGCCATGTGTTCGCCCGGAGAGGCTGCAGTGAATGGGGACAAAGTGCTCCTTAAAGAGCAGGATTTCCATGCGGCTCCACGGATAAATCTGACTTGGCAGAGGCCTCCTCCTGGCAGGTTCCTTAAACAGAGACTGCTGTGATCACTGCTAATACGTCGCACACAGCCAAAGAGTCAACAGTGAGAAACGCAGGTAGCCAATAGCGGAGCTGCAACTAACAGACACCCAGTAATCAGCCAAATCAGAGCTTTATAAGCATGAACAGAGGTCTGTTTCATGGACAGTGTTGGGACGATGAGGTCACCGACTGAAGCACCGACTTTATACAAGGCCATCATTTAAGGAGATTAAAGTCTCATTGATGGAGGTTTACCATCCATCCTTGGCATCCACTTTGTCTGGCACTGTCCTGTGTTTTTGCGCCCTGTGGTGTCATTCATCTTGTTTTTTCTTTGCAGGTTTCTCAGAGGCCAGAGCCCCAACAGGAGTTCAGGGCCGAGCATGGAGAAGTTCAGGGTTCCTGGGGGGCCTGGGGCTCGTGGTCAGCCTGCTCCAGGACCTGTGGAAGAGGAGTTCAGGAGCAGGGTCGGCCCTGTCTGCCTGTTTACACGCCGTCACAATACCCCTCCAGAAGAGAGGGTGTTCACCCCCAGCAACCGGGACACATCATCTCAGCGCTGAAGCCGACGGTTCCTCTGCACCGCAGCGCAGGGAGGAGTGCAAACAGCAGCAGGAGAGGAGATCTGAGGAAGGAGGCGAGGCCTGGAGGACGGAGGTACTGTATCATCGTCCTGCACAGGGGAATACGATTAATTAAGATCTATAACCCCCCGCAAAATCTCAGGTGTTGAAATCATGCATGTGATTTTACAAAGCTCTGATTTCTTTTTTACATTTTATTTAGTTGGTTGGTACTAAAAGAACAAAACAAATAACAGATGTTGATTACATAACAATTCATCCTCACGAAAGGAAATAAAAAGAGGGAATTTGAAAAACAACAATTAGATAACAGGAGACAAAAATGGGGCGAAGCCTGCGAGCTAGTTCAGAAAGTCAACTCGAGCACCAATGATACATTAACACGTAACGCGCCTCGTCCCTCTTACAACCAACCAATCACAGTCTCCTAAACATGCCGCTCTATTGAAGCTGCCAGGTCTTCCTGCCTCTGCCTCGCTATGCTGCTGCTGCTGCTGTGCCCACTTGCTATTGCTGCGTTCATGTTCCTGCTGCTGTGTTTCATGTTGCTGCTGCTCGCCTGCCCCCCCACCAACCCAGCTCCACCTGTAGGCTCGGGGGATCGTTATCTAATCATCACTCAATGTTCTTTGTCTAGAGGAAACTTCTGTGTAGCAATGCATGGGAGTCACCGACTCAGGAAGGAGACAAGGTAGAGCAGGAGCTTTGATGTCAAAACACTGATGATTTATTGGAGTTTCGGCCGGAGCATTCACATCACAAGTCACAGCAGTCACGGTGAGACTGCACGGGTGGGTTGCCACGTCAATTCTGGAGCGCCTCTCTCTTGCTAGCCCATTTAACTGGTTTCACAGAGAGTCATCAACATATTTTGATAAGATAGCTTTAGACAGTTGGGCACACTGAGTTACCTGCTTCTGCCACTTATGGCCTCGAATATGTCATACATCATGGAGTCCACAAACAACAAAGAAGGAAGTGTCCCAATGCACCCACAACAAAGACCATCTGTGACCCAGTGTTGACCGGTCACAGAGTGGGAACAATAACATTATGGCTGAAGCAGCCTATGTCCTTAAAGGAGATAAACAGACGTCAGGGTTGGTCCTGTACGTCATATCTAGGAGTCTAGGACAATTATTTCCCTAACACTTTGTGATGAGTGATGAGGCCCGAGCCTAGACGCCAAACTCAACTATATGCTGCTTCTAATAAACATATTTAGAAACACGTGAGTTGTCTGACTGAACTGATAAAATAATATCCAATCCAAATAACAATCCCAAAACCACCTGACATGTGAAGAGAAATCACAATTTAACAAATTCCCATTCTTCAATAGAGATAATGGCTCTGTAGATTACATACATTTGTTCTGTTCAGCAACATATTCATAATTAAAGCTCAATCATGGAGTTTCATTTATTAGGAGGAAATGTTTGCATGTTAACAGGTGAGAAAATAAACACTTAAAAAAAGAACCCAATCCAAAACAAGTTGAATTTCAATAGGATATTGTAGATGTGTTTTTAAAAAGCTCTTTCCACCACTACAACAAAAACCACAAACAACGTTAACTTGTTCCATCTCAATAGCTGCTGCCTTAAGAGCTCTGCAAGGAGGCGCGAATGGGTTCATCATTATTGATCTATTATATTGAATTGTGAATCATAATCTTTTTTGCCTGAAATACAACTTAAACACTAAAGAAGTACTTTGTCACAAATACATGTCACTGTCTGTTTGAAGTCATTTTGATATCATAATGGTCATTGAAAAACTACGTTCAGTCTTGTATTAGTAGCTTTTGTCTTTGTTTAGACCTGGAAGTCCTTGAAGACTGTGTGTCTGTGCAGCATGCTGAGCAGCTCGGTCTGAAAGTGACGCTTTGGAGCCATCGCTCTGACTGCCCTCCACTCTTTCATGAAGAAGTCAAAGGCTCGGCTTGTGCTCGGCAGCTTTGTGACCTCCTTCCTGTCGTGCCTGCCTTTAAACAAATAGCCCTGACAGATGAGTAATTGGGGGTTGTTTGAGTTGGAACTTAAGGAGACCAAAACTCGACAAAAGCCCCTCAGAGTCCTGCTACCGGGGGCAGGACGCTCCTCAAAGGTTGTGTCAGTTTCCTCAGAAAGAGAGGACATTTAGCTAAAAACTCAAATTTAAAGAAGATCCAAATGACTTCAGTTGTTCAATCTCTGCTTGGTTATAAGAGGAGTCCATTATATGTTCTATAGTTGACGGTTCCAGACACTTTCATATCCAGGGGTGTACAGTAACTTAAAGTACTTTAACTCCAGTATTGCACTTAAGTACAGCGTTGAGCTACGTTACTTTAGTTAGGTGTTCTTTTTTTAGCTCATGGTACTTTCTCCTGGTACTTTAGCTATTATTTACTTTACAAATTATTTATATTTTCGTCACAAAGAAGAAACAAAAGTACTGGTGTAACCAAAACTATAAGCTGATTGGTCAATTGACTGACAATTAATGGTAATAGTTTATGATAATCGTTTAGTCATTTAAAGTCATTTAATATTAAAGTTTTATGAGTTGTTGCTCTTCCTTTGAATAAGTGTATTAATTTTCAATAAAAAATATTCTGCATTAAGTACTTGTAATACTTATGCAGACTGTAATACTGTAATATCTCCTATGGTAAGTAACATTTCGACATTCAGGACTTTTAATTATAACGGAGGATTACTTTAACTTTTCCTTAAGATTTGTATTAAGTTGGTAGTACTGCTTTTACTGAATTAAAGCATCTGAATACATCTTCTGAGACTCATTAATAAAGTGTTAGTAAGCAGGGGAGTGTGTACAGTAGGTTGTTGATCTCCTCGTGTGTGTGTGTGTGTGTGTGTGTGTGTGTGTGTGTGTGTGTGTGTGTGTGTGTGTGTGTGTGTGTGTGTGTGTGTGTGTGTGTGTGTGTGTGTGTGTGTGTGTGTGTGTGTGTGTGTGTGTGTGTGTGTGTGTGTGTGTGTCTTCAGGAGGGTCCCTCACATCATCCCGGGGCGGTACGGCTACGGGTCGGCTCCTCATGTTTCTCCTCTGCAGACGCACGCGGGTCGGAGCTCAGAGACGACTCGCCCTCACAGACAGAGACGCTCCCCTGCAGCTGAAGCCCGTCACCACCAGCACCAGCACCAACCCCCCACAGCAGACCACAACCAGGACCCCTCAAGCAGCCTCCATCACCCCAGCAGACCCTTCATGCCACCCAGGAATAACCAGGTCTGGGCCCCCCTCTACCAGCCGGGCTCTGGCCCCCAGACTCAGGACCAGCAGGGGCCCGGATCCAGCCTCCAGACCTCTGGAGACCCCCCGGAGAGACCCTACAGCCCCCTGCCCGGCTCCTCCTGCAGCGGGGAGCAGGCGCACCACAGGGTCTGCAACAGCAACGTATGAACATTTAGCATTTCTTGTATATAAACTCTTCTTGCACTATTTCAGAAGACATTTCTCCACTCTGTTGTGTTTAACAGTTTCAAGGTTATGTGCCTTGCTCAAGGGCACCTCGGCAGTGGCCTAGGAGGTGAACAGGCAACTCTCCAGCCACCAGCTCACTCCATTATTATTATTATTATTATTTTGTTTTGGTCCAATCGGCTTCGGTTCCAAGACCAAGTCCCTAGAGACTGAGCCACTGCCGCCTCAAATGTGCATTTACTTGCACTATTTGATCTGTTGTATTGTGTGTTGCTCTGTTGGAGGAGCCTGGGACACTAGCTATGCACAGATGACAATAAAAGCCTTGAATCTTGAATTCATGATTCAACGGTTTTATTGTCATACGCACAAAAGCAGCCGTGTAGTTGTTGGCAATGGAAATGAAAAAAGAATGGCCCACGCCCTGCCAACAGTGCAACATTAACACTTTATATGACTTCCAAATGAATGCAAGTTTTTAGAATAAGAAATTCTAAAAGTATCAAATCATATTTATTTGAAAAACACAGGAAAGTGTGTGATTGTGTGCTTATGTACGTATTCTTAGCATGTTGGCCATCGGCTTTTAAAATAAGCACAATGAGCAAAAGATAGAAATATTAGAAATAGACGTTTTTTCCACAGTGCAATTTAAGTGTACACTTGTTGCTTGTGGGGCCACAGCTAGAGAGTTTACAGTTAAGACCCACTGCAGGTGTTGCTATGCAGCGCTTTGCAAGGCATTGTGGGGTTTCGGGTAATTCTGGACTGACTAGCAATGCAAAAAAGAGATCTTAAATTCAGTTTTTTGCAGAAATCCAAAAATAAGTTTGGAGACGTGTGTGGACTGAGGGGTGGTTTTCATCTTCCAGTAGATTCTATTAATATTTCTCTGATAGATAGATCTCCCTTTTGTCCAAAATACAAACCCATGTTAGGATTAAAAGGCATTTAATACTTACATATTTTCAACTGGGTCTCTTTATATGGGTGAACCAATCGTCTTGAGCAAACCTTATCAGGGGTACAGCAGCTGTAAAGTGTGTGCTGGCTCTGCTATCTGATCTGACTTTAGGGAATCCATCCTGTGCATTGAAGTCAATTCAAACAGTCTGGTTCTGTAAATTGTCTCCGCTCTGCGATGACAGAGATGTTCAGGCAAAGTAAAGCAGACCCACGGCTTGTTTAGACAAAGGAGATATAGCGGGATGTCCGAGTGGCAAGTCTTTATACATATTGTAATCTAAAGACCTTTGGCAGTGTAACAATGAGAGATGTGAGCCTGCTGCAGCAACAGAAGGATTTACGTGTTAGTCTTTGTGGAAAGTAAGTGTGTGTGTGTGTGTGTAATGTTTCTGGTCCTTCCTCAGGCCTGCCCTCCATCCAGCAAACACATCCGGGCTGTTCAGTGTTCTTCATACAACAACAAACCTTTCATGGGCAGACTGTACGAGTGGGAACCTTTCAACGAGGGTGAGTCATTGTACGGCACATGAACATGAAACATTTAGAGATACTTTGGCTTGGACTTGGAAACATGCGAATGCTTAGCAGCTAATATTGACTGGGTTAACATCCTTAGTTTAGCATGAAGCATGCTAACATTTGCTAAGCAGCACTAAAGGCAAGGCAAGTTTATTTATATAGCACTTTTCAACACAAGGCAATTCAAAGTGCTTTACAAAAAATGAAAGAGATTAAGAAAATGGCATTTAAAAACAGTCATTAAAAAGAAAAGCTAATAAAATAAACATTAAAAGAAAAAATACATGGATAAAAGTTACAAAGTACACAAAGTACAGAGTAAAAATACTCAAAATACTAATATTTGGTCATCATCCTTTTCTGTATTGTGGTTTCCATTTCTAATGATGTATTATATTGTCTGTCAGGAGGGGAGCATTGTATTCCTATTGGGGAAAATAAAGACCATCCTTTTATCAAATCATGAACCTACTTAAAGTCCTTGACAAATTGTAATGTAGTCCAGATGATGGTCAACAATTTATCCTGAGGGGGACAAAGACACAGACTCTCAAACCAAACATATAATGAATGCCTTTTCCTCCTCTCTTGCCCTGATAAAAAAAACATAGCTCTTTCCGTTGCCAATCTCTCCTTCATACAAATAATGACCTTCTGTATCACCTGGTGCCTAACGCTGCCGTCGAAAACAGCTACTTAAATGAACTACAATGATGACGCAGAGTAAACATCAAACTACTGTATTCATACCAGCAATAAAAGAGATGTTTATCTTTAACACTATCAAACAATGAATAGCTCCAACATTGTGAGTTATTTTGTGGACTAACAGATCAATAATAAATTGAGTTGAAATAAGACGGTGAACACATTCAGTCACACAAATGGACCAACCCGCAGAGCACCTCACTCACCAGGATCCCTTGGCTAACTAACAGGGAGTCCCATTGACTTGCATAGAGCTCCCTGAACGCTGGTAATAGACGAGTTGGGATGGCGGAGAAATGCTCTCCGCAGACCCATTCTCACAGCGTTATAATATAAACCTTTTTCTTACTCGATATCAAGCCACACTTATTGTTTTTACTTCGGCTGTGAGTGTTTCTGTGTGCTCGGGATGAGTTTAGCTTGTTCTCGCTGTATCGCCGACACGGAAACCACACCAGTAAGCCAGCTCACTGAGCAGCGAGCCACGCAACGTCCCGACCAATCAGAGCACACTGGGCTCACAGGGGGGGGGCGGAGCTCCAACAAGCCGTGTAGGACAGAGAGTGAATACACATGCTATACAGAGATGCTGTATGAGAAACCAATGTGAGTTTGGAACAGTGAACAATATAAATCTATTCTAGTAGACCTCAACAATGGAATTATGATCAATAGAAATGGCCATGACACAGGACCTTTAATTAAATGTACCCACATCTTTCCTGCTGAGATTTCTGAGATAGTCAGGATCCTAAAAGCCTAAAATGACTTGGGGCTAAACCATGCACCTTAATGTCCCACACTTTTCACAATTCATCACATTTACACTCAGTTACATCATCGTCTGTCCGACCTGTATGAACTAAGGTGTGTTGTGCAGCGCTGCAGTGTGTGTGTGTGTGTGTGTGTGTACGCTCAGTTAGAAACGTTCACTAACACACACTCTCTGACCTCACTCACCTGAAGTATCCAGGCAACAGTCAAAACACCTCCTGCAATGTAATTTCTGTGAGAACACTAATGTAAACACCAGGCTGCAGATTAATATCCCGTTAAACACGAGAGTATCCCGAGACCTTTGTGCTGCAGGCCTCCACTGACGGCTAATGCAGATGTAAGGGTTAAATAAACTCAGGTAAAGGTTTGAGGATTAGTCGGGATTATTTTACACCCATCTTGAACAATGCTTAAATGTTCTCTTTGTACATCTGTTGAAGAAATACTTTGCTTTTCAGGGGGCTTATAGTATATCTAATTGATAAAGCACCTGAACGAAATGTAAAGAACAGGCACCAGGATCCTTTGTAGTCGCTAACTCCTGCTTTATGTCAGTACATTAAAAAGGGAATCTCTAGTTGAAACATGAGAGCTGGTTTTAAAGTTATTTATTGGCCTTTAAGAGATTTTAACGTCTGTTTCATCTAACTTTTGCGCTAACTTATAAAGCCCAATTGGAATATCATTCACACACTGAGTCATTGAACTCATCACTCTTTCTAAATCATTCTGAATGTATAAAACTCAATTATCTGCTACTTCAGGGCACTTACTGTATACACATGTTTGGTATGTTGCCATTCACTGCAGTATTAAAGCTGCAGTCAAGGCACAAAGCAACCATACATATTGTGTTATGTTATTGCTTTGAAATGTAAAGTCCCAGGGTCAGATAGTAGTACTGTGTTTTGGTTGTAAAAGTAACAAAGTGGTCATGGTTTCCATAACCCGTACATGATGTGTTTCCCCCCCCCCCCTATATCTTCAGGGTAATTAAGGCTTTAAAGGCCTGTACTTTCATATTCTCATGCTACAACATGTGTTAATATATATTTACTATTCTCTTCTCTACACATCTACAACCGTATGATTGCATTTTATGTTAAAGGTCATATTATACTGTTTTTCATCAATATATCACAGGTCTCAGATATATCCAGAACATGTCTCTGATTGGCTGAAACACCAAACAGATCATTGCACCCATAACCCCCTCTGTTTCAGCCCTGTTTCCAAAGTGCTGATTCTCTGTCTGTTACTTTAGATGAAAATAAGGAGCCCCTCCCCACGCCCCTCTGAGAGAGATTTGGTGGTGGGGGGGGGTTACCTTGGTTGCTGATTGGCTAATGGTTACACAAGCCAAAACATCGTTATGACATCACAAAGTGGCCAAAATCTGATCAGCTCATTTTCAGACAGGTTTTTATAGAAATGGATCAAAAAGAGAGAGAATCTTTGTTCCTGAAACTTTCAGAGTCTCTTTCCACAGAGGGGACACATGTTGATGTAGAAGAGACATGAAGAAGAGGGGACACATGTTGATGTAGAAGAGACATGAAGAAGAGGGGACACATGTTGATGTAGAAGAGACGTGAAGAAGAGGGGACACATGTTGATGTAGAAGAGACATGGAGAAGAGGGGACACATGTTGATGTAGAAGAGACATGAAGAAGAGGGGACTCATGTTGATGTAGAAGAGACATGAAGAAGAGGGGACACATGTTGATGTAGAAGAGACATGAGGAAGAGGGGACACATGTTGATGTAGAAGAGACGTGAAGAAGAGGGGACACATGTTGATGTAGAAGACACGTGAAGAAGAGGGGACACATGTTGATGTAGAAGAGACACGAAGAAGAGGGGACACATGTTGATGTAGAAGAGACGTGAAGAAGAGGGGACACATGTTGATGTAGAAGAGACGTGAAGAAGAGGGGACACATGTTGATGTAGAAGAGACGTGAAGAAGAGGGGACACATGTTGATGTAGAAGAGACGTGAAGAAGAGGGGACACATGTTGATGTAGAAGAGACATGAAGAAGAGGGGACACATGTTGATGTAGAAGACACGTGAAGAAGAGGGGACACATGTTGATGTAGAAGAGACGTGAAGAAGAGGGGACACATGTTGATGTAGAAGAGACATGAAGAAGAGAGGACACATGTTGATGTAGAAGAGACATGAAGAAGAGGACACACATGTTGATGTAGAAGAGACATGAGGAAGAGGGGACACATGTTGATGTAGAAGAGACATGAAGAAGTGGGGACACATGTTGATGTAGAAGAGACATGAAGAAGAGGGGACACATGTTGATGTAGAAGAGACGTGAAGAAGAGAGGACACATGTTGATGTAGAAGAGACATGAAGAAGAGGGGACACATGTTGATGTAGAAGAGACATGAAGAAGAGGGGACACATGTTGATGTAGAAGAGACATGAAGAAGAGGGGACACATGTTGATGTAGAAGAGACATGAAGAAGAGGGGACACATGTTGATGTAGAAGAGACATGAAGAAGAGGGGACACATGTTGATGTAGAAGAGACATGGAGAAGAGAGGACACATGTTGATGTAGAAGAGACATGAAGAAGAGGACACACATGTTGATGTAGAAGAGACATGGAGAAGAGGGGACACATGTTGATGTAGAAGAGACATGAAGAAGAGGGGACTCATGTTGATGTAGAAGAGACATGAAGAAGAGGGGACACATGTTGATGTAGAAGAGACATGAGGAAGAGGGGACACATGTTGATGTAGAAGAGACGTGAAGAAGAGGGGACACATGTTGATGTAGAAGACACGTGAAGAAGAGGGGACACATGTTGATGTAGAAGAGACGTGAAGAAGAGGGGACACATGTTGATGTAGAAGAGACATGAAGAAGAGAGGACACATGTTGATGTAGAAGAGACATGAAGAAGAGGACACACATGTTGATGTAGAAGAGACATGAGGAAGAGGGGACACATGTTGATGTAGAAGAGACATGAAGAAGAGGGGACACATGTTGATGTAGAAGAGACATGAAGAAGAGGGGACACATGTTGATGTAGAAGAGACGTGAAGAAGAGAGGACACATGTTGATGTAGAAGAGACATGAAGAAGAGGGGACACATGTTGATGTAGAAGAGACATGAAGAAGAGGGGACACATGTTGATGTAGAAGAGACATGAAGAAGAGGGGACACATGTTGATGTAGAAGAGACATGGAGAAGAGGGGACACATGTTGATGTAGAAGAGACATGAAGAAGAGAGGACACATGTTGATGTAGAAGAGACATGAAGAAGAGGGGACACATGTTGATGTAGAAGAGACATGAGGAAGAGGGGACACATGTTGATGTAGAAGAGACATGAGGAAGAGGGGACACATGTTGATGTAGAAGAGACATGAAGAAGTGGGGACACATGTTGATGTAGAAGAGACATGAAGAAGAGGGGACACATGTTGATGTAGAAGAGACGTGAAGAAGAGAGGACACATGTTGATGTAGAAGAGACATGAAGAAGAGGGGACACATGTTGATGTAGAAGAGACATGAAGAAGAGGGGACACATGTTGATGTAGAAGAGACATGAAGAAGAGGGGACACATGTTGATGTAGAAGAGACATGGAGAAGAGGGGACACATGTTGATGTAGAAGAGACATGAAGAAGAGAGGACACATGTTGATGTAGAAGAGACATGAAGAAGAGGGGACACATGATGTAGAAGAGATATGAAGAAGAGGAGACACATGTTGATGTAGAAGAGACATGAAGAAGAGGGGACACATGTTGATGTAGAAGAGACATGAAGAAGAGGGGACACATGTTGATGTAGAAGAGACATGGAGAAGAGGGGACACATGTTGATGTAGAAGAGACGTGAAGAAGAGGGGACACATGTTGATGTAGAAGAGACGTGAAGAAGAGGGGACACATGATGATGAAAAAGTGGATTTTGCATAATAGGTGACCTTTAATATTGAAAGTTGTATTTATCAATATCAATACATGATCAAAAGTATTCCATTCACTCACTAAATGTAAAGATGTACTGTATATTTAACTGCCCATTCTACGTTTTTCATTGTCTTTTATTCATTTTTCCCAAATAAAATGGTAATCCAAATTCTCCTTATCCCCCTCTCAGTCCCAGAGGATCAGCACTGTGAACTGAACTGCCGAGCCGTCGGGTTCAGGTTCTACGTTCGACAGTCAGAGCGAGTGACGGACGGGACGCCGTGCGGACAGAACGAAACTTCTCTCTGCGTAGCGGGAAAATGTTCGGTAGGTGTGCTTTTTTTTGGCATTTTAACCCAATCACAAGCCAGCGTCGACTCTTCTGTTATCCCATGGCTTTCCCCATTTCTTTCAGATCAAGCGTGTGTATGAAGATGTATAGATAATACATCAGTCAACTTAATTGTCAATCTTTCAGTTTTTCAGACAGAGAGATCAAAATGCCATTTCCCACAATCCTGAATACAATAACAAAAATATATAAAAATATGTATATACCTACCTATATACACACAATCAACAGACACATTTGTACATATGCACACATTAAGACATCAATAAAAGCACAACAATCAATATATACAAAATAACAGTCACTTCAATATCTTTGAGTCACGTGTTTTGCCAAATGTGCTATCATGAACTTCCTCAAGATTATGTGTGTTATCGGTCGAGACTTTGCTTGGACGTATACAAGGATCCTTTATCATAACACAGGGTTATACACTAAAATAGAGTTGTAGCTTAGTCCATTATGCCACTAAGGTAAACTATGACATTACTCCTATAGGCATTCCTTAAAACGTTGCAATATATTGCTAAATATTGTATTGCACTGCTTTTGAATAGGATTACACTAAGAAGCATAAGGAATGAATTACAATGTAATATATGTTAATACATTTCGAACTGAAGGTCTAAATACGTTTCTACATTTGTCCTTGTAGACTCTAAGGAAAGTGGAAAGGGTACGGTTTTCTATTTCAAAGCGGCAATGACAATAATATCTCCTGGAAACACTAGTTAGACATAAGTGTTATGGCTCTTCTTACTCTCTATGTACTGAATAGGAACTATACAATCTCTGTAAGCAGTTGTTCTGATGTAGTAATGTGTGTGACCAGCTGAGGGCAGCATGGCGTCAGAGTGTGTGTGTTGTGAAGGAGTGAAGCAGAGGTCATGAGGAGGTTTCTACCCGCCTACACAAAGAGATCCTGGGTTTTACATTATGGACATATTTGTACTTCTGACCTCTTATTCAACACACTCTCACACAGTGAAAACACACCTGTGAGAACCGAGTCGGAGGGACTTGAGTTGCTGTGTGTGTGTGCTCTGCATTCAGTGTCACTTTAACTCTCTTTTGATCAGGGTTTAACGAAGAGACATATTTTAGAGAAAGAGCTAGTTTCCCATGCGCTGTAATCCAGCCCCAATCTTTGCAAAATGTAGATTTAATCAAGATAGAAAGCCCTCTGATCTCTGGTTCTGGCCTTGATCGCATTTCCTCTGTTATCACGCACGACATGCTGATCCTACGCGTGGGAATAGCTGAATTTATTATTAATAACGGAAGCTAAATTCTGATTTATGGGTCTAAATTGAGCTGTTACTGGAAAAGCATTGGACTGCAAGTGTTACTCATACTTCCTGCCGCAGATTACAGACTCATTATCTGAGGATTCAAACTCATCAGCAGTTTTTAAAAGAGATTTGTTTTTTCATCACTTTCCCTCCTGGGATGTTCTCAGCTATTTTAGCTACCAACCCAGAGATAATGGAGAAACAATTGTATGATTTTGTTTCGATAAGCACTTAACATACCAATAAAACCAAACATTATAGATTTTTTACTTTTGTAGATGGCGCTATGAGGCTCCTACAAAAGTTTAGTTTTATTTGAGAAAAGGGATACTATACAGAAAGTAATAACAATATATCTTAACACATCTAGACTCTAATAGAGTTCATGGATTATGCAGAAACAATTTACAAGCTAAAAAACACCTAACACTACCTTAAAAATTAAAAATGGTTAAAATAATTAGTAAGTGTTCCCAACACGTTCATTTCCTTGGTGTAACCAACTAAAAAAGGTTAGATCTTGCAAACACAGACACACCATAAGGGAAAACAATGGTACAAATTATACGCATTCATTCCATGCGTGTATATAGACGAGGGGTGTCAAACTCAAATACATAGTGGGCCAAAATAAAAAATGTTTACATATAATTGTAAAGCAATACATGATTGTCACTATAAGCCTTGTCTCTACATTACAATAAAATATAAAAAATAATTGATTAATTAATTTGAATACAAATTCAAGTTAGTATTATAGGCATAAAAAGACAGAAATGTATAATTCTTTCTTTAATAGAAATGTTTCTTCTGCCCATAAAGTGTCCAAACCAGGCTTTTCTGGATAAGCGCATTTTAAAAACATAGTCATTGTCCATGCCGGTTTCAGTTGGATTATTTGTCACAGTTGCTCCGATCAGATCGGTCTCCTCCATTTTGTAGATTATTTACGACTTTTGAATCCACATAAACACATCGGCAAAATCCGGCTTACTTTGAGCATGTGTTGTAAACAGTTTCATCCCTTTGTGAATTGTTTCCACTTGCGCCGTCCTTTCATTTCTTCATACAGCGGGAATCCAAATGAATTAATCCTGAGTCCAATAACCATCAAAGTCACTCCAATAGTGCTCCTTAGTTACGCTTTCATCCTCCTTTAACAACATACTTCACATTCATCCAGTTTGTGACAGTAGTTGTTGCATTTTGAGACTTTTAAACTTTAATTACCGCTGTTGCACCCCCCCTTGTGTGTGGGGGGGCGCAACTTCCAACAGGAGTCATTTGGGGGGGCTCTTGGGAAAAAAGGTTGGGAACCCCTGATCTAGACTCTTCTAGCACTATTTCTATTTAATTTGTATTTACTTGCACATCTTGCAACATTCTCTTGCACTATTTTATTTCTATTCTGTTATTTCTTGCACTATTTGTATTGGTTGTATCTGTTTGATGTCCTGTATATTCACGTTGCATTGTTGAAGGAGGCTTCAGTTTGTCATTGCCATATCTACACTGTAGCTACTGTGCAATATGACAATTAGACTTTGAATCTTGATGAACATAAGGCTCAAAGGAAAATATGCTTTTGTAACTAAGTACAATTACTCAAATACTGTACTTGATTAAGGCAAGCTGATTTATATAGCACCTTTCAACTAATGAAGGGATCTGAATACTTCTTCCACCATATTTTGAATGATTTTGCAGTGCAGTTGCAGAGCTTATTTCTCTGCCTTGCTGTTGGTTTTTAACATTATACTCCCATAATAAAGCAGCTCACTGTTTTCTTTGCTGGAGGTAATTTAAATGTTGGCTTTCATATTGGTCCCATTGCGGCTTCAGTTTGTGGCAAGAAACCGTTTTTTAAATACTTAATCATGAAAATTCTAATGTAATTCAAAACATTTGGGCTGCACACTTTCTCTGGCTTAATGATGTTGTTATTTTAACTTTACACACACACCAAACCACAGAGGTTGTGTGTGTGTTGTGGCGACCTGTTGCTGCTGATTACAGAGGAAACGCTGTCACACAGTTTGTGTCGCTGCATGAATAACAACTCTGTCCATTCGACCCTTGTTGTCCATCTCAGATTTCACAGTGACACTCTCAAATGAACCTGTTAGAAAGACTGTCTAATGAGGGAAGTCCAGCGTCTAAATGTGGATGCTTTCCTGTCATTTCTCATGTTGTACACTGTGAACACTTTAGGAATCGCAATGAAGTGACAATAGCTGCAGTTGGATAGCTAGCTAGCTTGTAGCAATAGCTATATAATATTATTGCAGATTGCTCGATTAACCCAATTTATTAAGTAGTGACGAAAAAACACGTATACAACTTTTATTTTTGTAGTGCTGTGTTGACAAATGCAACTTCCATTAGCCAAGATGGCGGTTTCTGAGTCAGATTAGTGTACAGGGTTGAACGTAATGAGAGGAGCATTAAGGTACTCATAGTGCATTTTGCCCTACTTTGCATTAGGACACACTCAAAACAGCTCATATTAGCACAGAAGTACACCAATTTAGACACAACAAGGTATTTTATGGTTAGTGCCCTTTAATTTTAGCCTGTACAACTGCTACAGATATGCTCTGATGGAGATCTGCTGAGGTTTCATCAGAGGTGGAAAAAGTACTAAGATAATGTACTTAAAGGTGGGGTAGGTAATTCATTTCAGAAACACTTGTTGTTATATTCCATGGAATGCTCTTAACATCCCGATAGCAATGAATATATTAAATGCTTTGACAATAAATACATTAAAACATGTCATCTGTGGAAGCCGTGGCGCTGTAAAAAGCACGACCAATCATCTGAGCCGGCCCGGATAAAATAACTGGACGGCCTACCTGCCTGTCAGCCTTCCATCTGTGCACGAACTTATCTCGTGCCCTCATTGGTCATGTGCGCGTTCGTGTGTGTTGGAGGAGGGGCTCTGTAAGGAAGTGGCAGATTCTTTCCGGTTGTGTATTTTCAAATTCGAGATTACTCGAGCTGGTTTCTCCATTCTTTCCTACCCCACCTTTAAGTACAAGTATTATACCACAGTCTGAAAATACTCTGTTATGATTAAAAGTCCCTCATTTGTTTTTTAACTAAAGTTACATAATCAAAAATACCAAAAGGAGCATTACAGAGAATGGACGTGAAGTCTAAACTGTGTATTATATGTCTAGATTATAATTGGTGAATTTAATTATAATCTTGCAGCTGGTAAAAGTGAAGCTCACTCTTTATACTGCCAGGTAACCTAATCCATAATAGCATATCATAATTCACAAGTTGATACGTTTTGTAGTTATAATATGAACCTGCTAAGTTACTAACGTTGTAAAATAAGTGTAAAGGAGTATCTAATATATTCATTTTCATTGTAGGGACAAAAACACTTGCACTTCAACAGAGCGCTGCTTTCCCTAAATTCCTGTTCAAATCTTTAAATCAAAATGAGAGGTGCAATAACAGAGCATCTTTAGGATCACTAAACGCTGAACACTTCCTATGAGTCACACGTGTAAAGGAACCTGTTGAAAGCGTCGTCTCGGAGGCGCTGAAACCCCTGAATGGCCACTCGTTTCAGATGAACAGTGAAAGAAAGGTCCCTTTATGGGGGGATTCCATTCAGTGGGGAATTCTCTCTCTTTATGAGGAAGGGGTATTTGAGAAGGGTGTGTGTG